ATAAGAAAAGTAACCGTCAAAGTGCGTCATAATAAGCTTTCTCAAGATATTCAATGCACTATTTATGACTATAGTTTAGTAAGCATAGTACAATGCTGAAGCAACATAAACACAATAGAAGTCTAATTTGACTGTATTTTCTTATTTGTACAGAAAGTACAGTACATACAGTATGTAGGACCGTACTTAATACTAGTATTCCAGTACGTACATTACAACGTACATCAGTACATAGAAGATACTACAAGTACACACTAGTACATGTAGGTACTGTACGGTGCTGAACGGAATACAATGATCTACAGTTAACGTTAACGTAGGGGGGTTCAAAGGAGTTAGTTAGTACGAGTACTACGAGCACAATATTTAACTGTATACTAGTAGTGTGTACAGTATGTAGTACTAGGAACTAAGTAGTATCATGTGTTGTATGCGGATGTACGAATTGAAGTGGGGTACGTACGTACTAGTACTATTAATAGTCTACTGTACCTAGTACTGTAGTAGTATTTCCAGGAGTGTAATACAGTACTACTAGCAGTACTTACTAGTATTAGTAGTACTACGTAGTACTTGAATTCATACTACAGTTGTACTAAATACTCGGAGTAGTACTAGTACTACTAGTAGTACTGTATTTCCATGGAATCGGTATTCATACTGTACTATTAATACTGATGTACCAGTACTACGTAATAGTATTAATATCCATATGTATACCTAGTAGTACTAATAAAAGGTATCCCAGTACTACTACTATTAATATGTGGTACTATGTACTACGAAGTATTAATAGTAGTGCTATTTATAGTAACTTACAGTTAGTATCAACGTAGTAGTACTGGCTGTAGTATGCAGTAGCGCTCCTTAGTATTAGTACTACTAATAGTACAACGTAGTACTGACACTGGAATTGAGTGGACTATTCAACGAATACGTAGTATAAATAACGTTACTACTACGTAGTATTAATCGAAGGATATGATGAACACAAGGAGACTGCGCCCAAAGCGTAAGCGGTATACAATGGTTTATGATTGGCTCTGGTATTTTGCCCTCGTGTGGTCACAAAACGGTAAAAATATGCCGTTTCCGGTAGATACCAGGTTGCCAAAACTGCATATTTCACCCCAAAAACGATAAAATAGCGTTTACCGTAGCACCATTGGGGATGCCCTTGTGTTAACTTATTGGTGTATTTCGCTGTTATCTTTTTAAACTATGACATACTAGCATGGGGAGTTCCAAGTAGTGTTCAGAAATAGCATGAGCCAATCAAAATCGACTTACCTCTTTTTTTTCGCGATTTAGAAAAATACCTCAGGGGCCTCTTTTTCTATACGGTAGTGAGTTGCGTAAAAAATCGCAGAAAAAGAGGCCTGTCCAAGTTCAGTAGATGTTTTTAGCAAATGAAAAAGTGGTACACCTACTCCGGAGTACTACTACTACAGTAACGTTAGTAGTACTTTTTAGGTTTTATGCGTATACTATACCACTACCGGTAGACCTCTCGTTCACTTTTAAACTTTACACCAAGATGACGTCGCCCGCTTTGTTCAATACCACCATGTCACGCCACCTCCCGCCTCGCCATCGGGTACCACAGCAGCCTGCCGCAGGAGCAGGATGCACCTCCAGTTTTACCTGGTCAACTCGTTGGACTTCGGCCGGCCCACTTCGTTCGTGATGTGCTGGACCCGCGTCGTGAGCGCATTCTTCGCTTCTGGTCTGATGTCGACATCGACCAGGTCGAGGAAAATCATAGCCAGCTGGTCGCCGCCTACAACAACGACCCCGTCCTGCGCCGCTCTCTTGACGAACACGACAATAGCACCACTTTCGATGACGCCCTGGGACGTCGCCCCTCGTCAATGGCTGCGTCTGTGCGCGTTCTGCGGTGGACTAGCGACCATCTACACTACCTCAGTCGAATATGACTTTTCGATCCTCAAATGGGATGCTTCAAAGATGCCAATGAGCGCGATATTTTGCAGTAAAGATTGTAAAGTCGGAGACTGTTAATGAAATAATAGCGCAACCATATTGATAATTGAAGTGATATTGCTAATTGCATAATCCAACGATGGTAGAATGCATAAATTAGCTTAGTTTATGTAGTTTATGCATAAGCATAATTTTATGAGGCCTGGCTTAGTGGTGCGACTGTAATTGCTATTTTACAGTTCTATCCAGGCAATTTACAGTTTTGACAATCCCACCGGGCGACTGTGACTGGTGCCTGAATCAATCCGAACCTTGCAAACCCGATGTCGTCGAGTACCTGGTAGTTGAATTTACCTTAAGTTCATGTCCCAACAACTAACTACGCAAATTCCGAGGGTGATCTCACATATACATTGTTAGTTTTTATGCGCGTCTCACATGAAAGCAACACACTTCAACCAAGACATCGTTTTTTTCTTAGTTTTCCCTTACAAATGCACAACACTACATATATGTTCTGTATCCATGAACCCTATTCCCACAACAAGCACTTCTTGGACGGGTTCAAGGTCGAGTCGGTGGGGCACTGGAACACACGGGCAAACTCAGCGTTGTTTTGCAACGCCCCTGTCACGCGGTACCGACCGCGCGGGTGCGTCTGCTTCAAAGATCTGAGGAGGAAGGCATCCGTGTTCTTGGAGCACGCGGATTGGGCGAACGACAAATAGAACAACTTGTCGCCTGCTTCTTCCGTGTACTGGGATGGGAACTCCTTCAAGTACTCGTGGTACGCGCGGAAGCTGGACTTGAGCCCCCCGTTGTCCGCAATGTTTTCATTCAAAGAGTCCTTGCCGCTGATGTTGCCCAATACATCGCCAGTCACTTCGCTCTTGGCGACAATGTTGGAGTATTGGTCGATAAAGCACTGGGCTTTCGTCTTGAACGCATCGTTGGTGGCGTTCGACCACCACTGTTTCAAGTTGCCGTCGCCATCGACTTTGCGGCCGCTTTTGTCGAAACCGTGGGTAATTTCATGTCCGATGACCATCCCGATGGCACCAAAGTTCTGGGCGGCGTCGAATTGGCCGTCAAAGAAAGGTTTTTGCAAAATGGCGGCCGGAAACACAATTGCATTATCGTGAGGGTTGTAGTACGGGTTCGCCGAAAAGGGGGCACGGTTGAACTTGCGCTTCTCCACAGGTTGTCCGTTCAGCTTCAAGTTGGTGTCGATGTTCACTTGAGATACCTTCCACCGGTTGTTCAAATACGCCTTCGAGTCGAACGTGAGCGTGGGGTACAGCTGCGGCTTCTCTGGGCCACCCAATAAGTGTATAAGCTTGGACAGCTTCTTTTGCGCGTTGGCGCGAGTCGAGTTGTCCAACCACTCGGAAGTGGCAATGCCAGTGGAGAAGGACGACTTCAAGGCCTTGACGAGATCGTCGGCCGTCTTGGCTGCATCAGCCGACAACACCGCGTCTATGAAGTACTGGCCCAAGAGATCTCCCACGGCCTTACTCGTCTCAGATATGCAGTAGTTTTCACGAGTAGGTTCCACCTTATGTCCATAGATCTTCTTGCCGAATAAGTTCCAATTGGCCGTGCGGAATTCAGGGGTCAAGTAGTTCGACGAGGCGTGGATGAGCTTGTACTCCACGATGGTGCGGAGGTTGTCCAGCGTCGTGTTCTTCAACAACCTTTCGGTCCTGTTAAAGTAATTCAAGCCCTTAAACCCCACCCAGTCATTCGACCCACCCCACTGGTCGTAGATGTCGAAACCGTGGGCCTTGAGCCACGAGCCGACAAGCAGCGGGTACTTCTGGTCCAGTTGGGAGTACGTCAACGCAGTATACGGGGACACAACGGCTTCCATATCCTTGAGCTCCCTGTGGGCGACACCCAACTGCGTTTGCTCGAAACGGATGATCACCGGCACGGCAGCCGCCGCTTGCTCAGCAGTGTAGCCAGCTAGCTGCAACACCGTCGCAATGTACACCTTGTATTCGGCTTCGACGAACTTCCAGTCGGAAGGGTTGGTGTAAAATATGTAAGCCAGCGATAGGGGGTCTTCGTGAGCGAAGAGGGCGTTCTTGGTCGAGTCGTTCTCGTCAGCTCTGGATCTGATGTCGACGAAGGCAGGAATTCCGTTCTTGGCCAATTCACCAGCCACGATGAGGAGGTCCAACGTGGTGTTGGCCGACCGAATG